AGAAATTTCTCAAATAAGTATAGGAGATAGAAATGATGGAAACGGTAGAGAGAGTGGAGAGATTTTTGGTAAAAACATAGAGAGAGAATACTGGAATGTGGGGTCTTTTTTTTTTTTACTTTTAACCGTTAATAGAGTCAAACTAGGTAAATATGAGCCTGATTTGAGAAATAAAAGGAAAGTAAATTAATTATATTTGGTTACATTATAGTTGCTAAAATAATGACATTTGAAATAATTATTTTAAAATGTAGATGTTTTAGCTATGTTAGAAATTTTGAATAGTTTGTTAATTTTTAATTTTCTCTAAAATTAAATACGAGAATAAATTATGATCAAATTCATGCTAAGACAGATGGGAGAGGATGAAAATGAAATGCACGATCCGACGATTAGTAAAATAGGTGAAAATATATAGGAGACAATCGTACTTTAAATTTCAATAAAAATTTAAAAAAATCCTAGCTAATTTCTTTTCGCCTATAAATTTTAGTGAGCAAAGATAACATTGATATATATATATATACTAGATATTAGGTTCCCGCGCTAGCGCGGGGCCCCAATATATATTACTTTCTCCGTCTCATTTTATGTGAGGTAGTTTGATTCGCCACGGAATTTAAGAAAGAAATGAAGACTTTTAAAACTTGTTACTTAATATAGAAATGTGACATTCTTTTGGGACTGACTAAAAAGAAAAGTAAGTCACATAAATTGGCAAGTTCTTTGTTTCAATCTATGTGACACCGATGAAATTTGGAGAGTTATATAATTTTTTGTATGTGATTTTGTTAAATACATTTTGAAGTTGTTAATTTATTGTGATTTATAGCACTTCTTATATCATTTTCAAATAATATATATTACTCTTTCTGTTCCATTTTATGCGACGTAGGTACTTTTACGAAGTCAACTAAATTTCTTATATGATTCTTAAATATTTTTAGTTGTTATTTTACTTTAATTTACAGTGCTTTTTATGTCATTTTGAAACAAACTTCTTTTGTTTCAATATGGAATTAAAGAGTCAATAAATTTTCTTTTATGATTTTTAGTTATGTTTTTTTTAATATCTTATATTATTACATTGTGATTTTTCAGTACTTTTTTATGTAATTTTTAAATATAGAACAAATTAAAAGAAAAACAAAGAAATTTTTAAATGAAGAAAGTACTAAAATTTTCAAATAATCATATTTCTATATTAAAATGTTAAAAACTTTAAAACTCCACATATATGCAGAAAATCATATACGGAAGACAAAATAATTTTTAAAATATATATTAAAGCTCTTTCTAATAATATCACATATTTATTCTATTTTTCAAATAATATATATTTCTCACTCAATCTCAATTACGCAGTACATATGAAATTTCGAGAGTTAATCAAATTCTTAGTACTATTTTAAACTATATTTTAGTACTATTTATATAATTTTCAAATAATATATGTTACTCACTCTATTATATTATGCAATACATATGAAATTTCAAGAATTAACCAAAATTTTAATATTTTAAATTGATTTTTAGTACTATTATCTTCATATTTAACACTTCGTGCAAAAAAAAAAAGATGAAACAATTAAAATGGAAGAAACAATATAAATAATTTATTAATGAATGAATTAATTAATAAATAATATTCAAAGATCCCTGGAGGATAGAAATTGGAAATAATAAAATATAAGAACAATGCAAGGAAAAATAAAATGGTGTACAAAAGTAACAATAGGGCCCACACAATTAAAGCCGTAAAAGAGGAAAAAAAGCAAATGGTTTTTGTGTCCAACAAAAAGGAAGTACATTTATGAAGCACGCAAATACAATCATTTTTTAAGTTTGAAAAGTACGAAATACCATAAAGCAACCCTCTATTTTGATTTATTTACGCAAGTACCTTCATCGTCCGTCCCAGTCCCACGTGGAGGCTATTAACTGATTTCGTAGTATTGAGGTACTCAACACTTTTGTAAAGTAAAGCATAGAATGACAAAAATAACCCTTAAATTGAGTGTATTTTCACGTAAGCACACGTGTTGACAGAGAAGAGTGTGCTTATTCGCTCTTCTTATATAGTATAAGTAATATATATATATATATATATATATATATATGAGTTCTGAGACTTAAGTACTCCAATATATATCTCGTGACATAATTAAAATAGGGAAAATTGTATATAATAGCAAACTATTAATTCAAATTAAATGCTATAAATATAGTTTGATTTAATTGTACCTCATAGCAAATTGTTGCTATTTCACCTCTCTCCT